AGTTTTCAAATGTGCTTTAAAAATTAACATCCGCATATAATACTGTGTGACCTGGCTGAACAGAAAATTACTTTTGGAATATGCTCATGACAATTTAAATGATAAAAGGGGCAGGCTAACGTACAATGACATTGACATATAATATGTTTCCTTGGCATCCAGGCTTCCCTTCTTTCTTTGTGACAGCCCCTGATGTCTTTTCTAGGGGTCCTTACAACTCTGAAGAAGCTGAACCTACTTGTCGGGACTCAGAGATTGATCCAGGGTGGACAAGTGGACAGGATTGATCCAAGTGGAGTAAGGGAGAGCCTCAGGCCCTGAGGATGCTGATCTACACATTCTGTTTTTCCTTCTAGACATGGACAAAGACTCAATGGTCCAGAAACTTCTGACCTTTACCTCTGTTCTATTGTTCATTCAGCTGTTTATTTCACAATCGCTTATGAACATTTACCTCATGCTAAATGGAATGAACAGGTTAACGGCTGGTAAAATATGAAGTTGAATAAAACATGGACAGTCAATTGACATTTATATCCCAGCCAAGTGTTCTTGGTGGCTCCCACTTACAATCCCACTACTTGCTTGTAAGGCCAATCCACAAGAGCCCATTTAAATGGGTATAAAGGATTTATTAGAAAACACTCATAGATACACAACAAAGGTAGATAGCCTTCATGGTCTTTCATTCTGCCCAGGGTAAATGGAACCAGCAGTCTGTTCTCCAACCATCACACTTGAAAGTGAGTGACTAACCTCCCCTTTCTTTTTAAAAGGTCACATCCTCAGACAAGAAGCCACACCCTAAGGCCGGTACCCAAAATCTACTGGCGAATGAATTCCCACAACACTTGTGAATTCATGTCCAGCCTAGGTGACATAGTGAGAATAAGTCTTTAAAGAAAAAAAAATCAAGTGGAGGAAACATGTTAGAAGACCAGTAGGTCAATATTCATGACTCATATGACTGTAGAGATGGATCAGCATGGCTGTTTTGGATAACATCTTAGCTAAGTAGAGTGCTTAAACACACAGCCCTTTAAATTATGGGTACACATATGTCTGTGCCCATGAGCATGTTGCCATGGAGGGCAGAGGCATCAGATCCCCCAGGGCTGGAGTTACAGGCAGTTGTGAGCCACCTGATGTGGGTGCTGGGAGCTGAACTCCTGAACTTGTGTCCTCTTTAAGAGCAGTACACACACTGGACTGGCTGAACCATCCAGACCCCAAATACATCCTTTTAAAAGAGCAGATAATGTGAAGTATATCAGTTTATTCTGAGCCACTCAACTATTTGGGGTTTGGATTAAATTTTAAAAGTTCCTTCCATCATTGCTAGCATCTAAATCCAAAGTACTACTTTCCCTTTAAACCAGGTTTCTTATTGCAGAGGAATACACACTTTAATGTTAAAAGTAATAGCATCTTTCATGTTACATTAAATGTCAAGATCATATTAAGGACAAGACACAATAGCACCTTGTGCCCTGAGAACTGCTTTTCAGGGGCTCTTAGTCAGGGTTCTCCGGAGGAACAGGATCAATGGAACATGTACAAGAAGATTTATTTTGGCTTATACAATATGGGGATTACCAGCTAAAGTTATAACAATGGCTGTCTCTATGCTGGAGAGGCCAAGAACCTAGTAGCTTCTCAGTCGAGAACTAAATGCCTCAGCACTCCCAGTCTGACATTGAAGGACGAGAAGACCTGGAGAGCTTCTGCTCTTTAGTTTTCACTAGAAGGGTAAAACTGGGATAGGAATCAGGGAAGGAGGCAGCGGCAGGAGCAGTGGGGATGCTCTCACCGGAGACAGTAGAAAGGCAGGCACGCAGCTTTCCCCTCAGACCACTTTTTATCTGGGCCACTTTCTGACAGATGCTGCGCTCCCTAACGGGGTGCCACCCTAAGGGAGGGTCTTCCACCCCTCAGTCAAGCCTTCTAAGAACTATACTCATGGATCTCCTCAGAAGCATGTTAACCTTCACAATCCCAGGATGAAAAATCTGTACACAAACCACACACTCCCCATTACTGTTGCCCATCTGATTTGATTATACGTGGGACGTAAAACATCTGGGAATTTAGAGGTTTTTACAACCAGCAGGGAGAATGTATTTCTAGAGTCATTAGAATCACCAGGGTAATTTTCCCCAAGTGAACACACTCCTCTTTTGCCCTGGGCTCTCCCTTACAAGCATGGCAGCCATCCTTCGCTCTTGCACAGTGCGTTCTCTCACTTTTCATAGGGTGGAAAAAACACTTAGACCTGTGTGTGATTTACAGGGTTGAGAGAGGGCCCTGAAACAACACCCTGTGGGGATAAAATCCTCAAGCTGCTGGGGGCTAACCTGAATCATTAAACCATTATATATGCTATTTATAAGTGTTATTATCAATCGTGTTTTCTAATGCTGGCAAAGCTACAAAGATGAAAAATCATCATTACTAATGGCAGATTTAACTCTGATGAAAACATGGATTTGGTCTTGTGAGTTTGATACCAAGGAAAATGTAAAGATGTAAACAATGCAAAGCGTGGGCCACATGTAAATCTCAATTTGGAGGTACAGTATTTGTTCATTATATAAGGCATCCAAAAGCGGTGTGTGGGGTTCTCACAATGTTTGTCTCTTACAGCATGCCTCCCTAAGCTTCAGACATGGGACCAAGAGATCAAGCAGGAATAGTAGATTTGAGGGCAGTTGGTAGTTGAAGCTGACATTTTACTCCATCTAAGTTATACCCTAAAAGCACAAGGGAACCGAAAATTACACGACAGGGTAGCTTTTGGTTATGTCAACCTAAAATGTGCTGTGTAATTCTCCAGTTCCCAGTTTTATCACTGAAGCTGACTCAGGGTTCAGGTTTGTCCTGGGTGGTAAAGTTGCAGCGTTGGGAGATACTACATACCCTGTAGATGTCCCTGCACTCTGAAAAGGGCTAGTGTGGCTTTCACTTTTCTCACACTCCTACTAAGGATATGTAGTATGAGTTCTTAATTTAAAACAGTAGGGATAAACAAACAAATCAACCTGCTCTTTTATTAACCCTTAAAAAGAAAAAAATTCCGATTTTCCCCTCCAGGCCATAGATTTATTTACAGCCATGGGCTTGACAAACAGCATGGCCGGAAATCTGAGGGGAGTTTAGGTACCAGCACCAGTGAGATATAGCATGGGAGGATGGCCGAGGGCTCTCAGAGGAATCAAGGCGCCTTGATGAGTTTTTTTTTTTAGGGTCGGGACATTTTGGAGGTCTCCAAACCTTAAACATGTAATATTATTTAAAAAGTTAAAAGCCTTGTCAAGACCGTATCTTATTAAATTCTTTGAGTTACAGAAAATTCACACCAACACAAGGATTTCCGATGTTCGCGGAACTAAAACGTAGCCAATTAATGTTTCTAAAAAAAAATCATAGTCTTGGGGCAGGAGGGTGTTAAGCCCGAAGCGACCATTTGGCCCAGC